TCAAAGCAGAACTCAAAGTTCGGAAGATCTCTAAGGATACAGATTCTACAGCCTTTCTCAGTAAATTATTTCAGTGCTTAAACACTCTCATTGTGACTATTTTTCACCCTTATATTCCTTCGCTGCAAATAAATGAGCACTTAGATTCTGCTGCTTTGATCAGAGGAATTTGCCTGTAATACCTAGTACTAATCACAGGAATAGCACTAATTCATCAGATAACTGTTTCTTGACTGTTTGACTCTTTGTTTCCAAACTCTTCACACGATAATGAGTTGTGAATGGGAGCAGTTTCTTTGTTGCTAAATTTACTGATGACATCAGTTTTGAACGATGTGTGTGTGTAGCAATGACTTTATTGGCTTTCTGCAGTACAGAACAGTAATTCATAATGTTCCTGGCAGGGAGGCTTTCTGACTACTCTCTGCTAACCCGCAGATTCTTGCTCATTTTCTATCTCTAGAGAAGAGGAAGACAAGGGTGATTTTGAAAACTTCTAGCTGTCCATACAAATACCCTGCGTCCTTTCCCCCCTAGAAGAGAAAATATTTCATAGTTTATATCTCAGCGTATATTCCTTATTTTAACTAATCTAATTTTCTAGTAAAATTAACAAGTGAATTAGTAGTTATAAGAATTTAAGAAAGAGTAGAAGAAACTTGCACCAAAATATCTTTGTGACTTCATTTCTCAGAAGAATAAGTATCAATTATTAACATGTTTTGCTTCCTGGGTGGGTGAGACACGCTGAAAATTAATTTGGATGCCTTTCAAAAAAAAAAAAAAAAGATTGAACATGCACCTTGTTTTAACACAGTATCAATTTTCACATACTAAGCAACTTTGGCCAATAAGAATAATAATGTCTGTATGTTTCCTGACAGTTCTTTGAAGTAAAACAATAGTATGAGTTGATAGAGGATGAGGAGGTTTCCTTGGCAGATCTGCTTATATAGTAATATGAAATCAAAATTACAGTGAATTTCATAAAAACAAAAATTATTTGCATTGGAAAGAGATTAGTTGGTAAATATTTAGTGAAAGATTGTCTTGTACCTGAGGTGCAAGTGAAAATTCCAGAGTTTTAGCAGTAGTCATAAGTTGTGTTTTACTGCTTGTTCTCAGAGCTTAACTTTATTTTTCAAACTGTTTTATGTTAGGAGGAGAAAATACACAGATATCAGAGGTCTGATCAGATATCAGATGCCACAAGATAGCGCTTTACCATTGTGTGGCTTTATCTGTACAGCCTGTTTCATTGCATGTTTTAATACATGATGGTACTTTTAATTTTTTTCTACTGATTTCAAACAGCGATACAAATCCAGCTTGAGTGACACTTTGTAACTTGTGCAGGGTTAGGCTTAGTCAGTAGGTAGGAGAAACCAGTATGCAAAGTATTAAGTGCTATAAAAGTAAGATAAGTGTTAACTTATTGTATTTTACAAAACCTTTTTTTGTCACCTTTGACCTAATACCATTTAATTATCATCAAGGAGGAATCTCTGTCAAGTACCATTTTTTCGGTTTGGTTTGATCGAAATTCGTGTTTGGCTGTAAACACTAACAATTATATTAGCAGCTTTGTAGCAGGAATCCAATTTTTCTTCTGGAGTACTCACCACCAGTGGCTGTGATAACCATACAGTATCTATTTATAAGTGAAGCACCACTGGAATTTTGTCTTGCAGAAATTACTTCAATTCCCTTCTAATAACAGGTGAAATGTTTTCATTCACTTAAGTTAAGGTTCCTTGTTCTTAATTGCGGGAAGAATTATTTTTACAATATGCATTTTTATTCAACAGTAGTGTTATGTAAGTGGTAGTTTATTCTGTTATAATTACCACTTTCCTTCATCATTAAAGCAGACTTGAGTGATTGTGGCTTTCCTCCTCTCAGTTGTGGAGAGCTATCTTCATTACATCGGTGTGAACTATTACAAGACATACAGGTGTTACAAAAACCTTCTGAATGAAATGTAACTCAAGTTGATGATATGTAAAAGATGAGGGAAAAGTTCAGATATTGTCACAGTAGCCTTAGAAAGTGTACTATTAGAATGTTTTTAGAAAAGTTATTTTTCTAGATGTAGACGTGAATTAGCCTGGAAATCATGACAGCACTTGTTTTGGATGTTAAAATGGACACTAGTAATAGTTTGGAGACTTTTTATTTCATTGCTTGTAGTATTTAACTCGCTTTCATGAGCACTGAAGTGAAGCATTATTTTAAAATGAACTAACTTATGAGTTAAGCGTTGTATAATGAACTGACTTGTCATGTTCATGTGCCTCCAGACTGAGCGGTACATGTCATTCTTAGTAATACTTGAACACAGTAAATGCCTTCAGAAGGAAGTTTGGAGGCCATCTGCTTTGGACATGATGGGATGGTAGCAGCAGCAGATATTAACAAATATGCTTTTGTTGTGAGCTAAGTGATTCAAATAAACCTGTATTTCTTGCAAAAGCCACCTTTGTTTAGAGTTATAAATGAAGGCAATTGATTTTTCTTTTTTTTTTTTTTTTTTTTTTTTTTTTTTTTTTTTTTTTGCATATAAAGAGCAAAGTGATTCAAATAAACCTGTATTTCTTGCAAAAGCCACCTTTGTTTAGAGTTATAAATGAAGGCAATTGATTTTTCTTTTTGAATTTTTTTTTTTTTTTTTTTTTTTTTTTTTTTTTTTTTTTTTTCTTCTCTTGTCTAGCCATATAGAGAGCAGCTGTTTCTCCCAGCATGAATCTGAACTTTTTTGTACCAGCCCTGTTGGGCTTCAATTATGGCAGAGTTACAAGCTCGAGATATAGACATCAACAATTGAGCTGTTTTCTTTGCTAAAATTTACTTCTATCTGTCTTATGTATTTTAATGTCTTACGTATTTTAGAGCCCTACAGTGATCTTGTTCCATAGAAATCCTTGTTTGAAAGGAAGAAATAAACTGTAAGAATTATTTGCAGTAATAAGAATTGAAAAATGCTATTTTTACTGTTGTCTTAAATTTGGGGGTACTTAATTCTTTATCCACATACGTAAAATAATCTGTTAACTAGATACAAAAAGGCTCTTTATTCCTTTGTCTACTTCTTTACAGAAAAATGCAGAAAACTGTCAGTCTTAGAGAACCAGTAGAAATGTTCAGTGTGTTAGCGTGCAAACTAATATCTAAATCTCGTGTTGCTGATAAATTGTTGGTGAATGTTTTTTAAAGAATAATGAATAGAGACAACATAAGTGAAGTTTATAATCTCACTATTCCATATTTCCTACATCTTTGTAATTATTTCATGCTTTAAGTCCAAATGAGCTTTAATTATGCAAGCTGGTATCTCAGCTGTTTATCACTGCCTTTTTAATTAAATCTTTATTTAGGTGATTAAAAAAAGCTTTTTAAAAAAACCTGGTATTTTTGATCTTTCCAGTATTGTTTCATAGCAGTTCTAAGTTTTAACAGTCAAATCTTAGTTTTTATCTTAAATCTAATGTCTAGTTAAAAATGTAAATGTATGTAAGCAAATTTCTGAGATGCTGTTTTGAAGAAATAATGCAACATAACATTTTTAGTTCTGTTTCCTGCGGAAGTAATTATTCCTGATTAGTTCACATCAGGAAAGAAGTTGTAATTTCCCTGCAAATGATTAGAGTATTTCTTATGTTCTAATTCATAGTATTTAGGCAAATATCAAGTTGGTCCTGAATCCAGAAGATTAATATTTTGAAATAAAGATGTATTCCTGGCTGTCCAAAATGCCTATATGACATAGTGTGAATAAAATGGTCTTTTGATATTTGTGTCATATTATGTGTGGTTTGCTTTTGTGACTTGTTACTCCTTTTTCAGAGGGCTTAGTACTCATTAAATTTCATAGTGGAAGCTCATTTTTTAATTATATGTATGCACAGTTTGTATTTTAAGTGAAATGTGAATTTACTTCGTTTCAGTAGGGTTATATTTTTCCATGTCCTGACTCCCACATTAGTTACAAAAACACTTTCTGAAAAAGGTCTTAATTGTTTATAGAAGGCAGTGAATTGAATTAAAAATTTTTAACTGAAGCTTATTCTGTCAGCTTGTCTATAAACAGTGAGGTTTCAGCATTAGAAGGACAAGATTTGGTATACAGTATTGACAACTATGTGTAAGATGAAAATGCCTATGAAGTACACATTTTAGTGGCTGGGAAAACTGTTTGTTACTTTATATTTCAGATTCAGCAAACTGTAGAATTAATTGTGTGTTGCCAAAAACCCCCCAAACTGTAAAGTTTAAAAACAGATTGCAGTATACAAGATCAGTTTATTTAGATACTACATAAAACTGAAATGAACTTATACTTTGCTCTAAGAAGATTGAATCTGAGTATATTGCATAGCTGACAGAAGTGATTGACATCTAAGTGCAAGTATCAAAGTTAGCCCAGCTTGTATATTTTACTTCAGCTATGCACCTGTTAATCTGGTCCTCTTTCTGTGATCACAATTAATTATAATAAAATACTATTAGCCCAAATGAGAAATCTAAAGTCACTGCCTTATCTTTATTATAAACAGTATTTCACTGTCCAGGTTAGGTTTAAATTGGAAAGTAAAATTTCACTTAATGAGACTTTCTAAGCATCTTTCGGGAAGAAGAAATAAAGTTTTCTATTACTAGTTCATAATTCCCACTGTAACATGTCCGATTGCATTTTTAAGGAAAAATAAAATAAAAATTGAAGCTTTGCTTCCAACAACAGTATATCTCAAATTATCATCTTTTTCCTGGTTTTGCATTTTTAATATGAGGAATGGAAATCATCATGTATATCTTGAGTGAACAGTCAGTTGTTGCATAAATCAGAGAGAGGTCTGGAATTACGATCTTTTTGGGTTGTAGTTACCATCAACACAATACCGTATTGTCTCCTCAAAGAAAAATAGTTCAACAGATAATACACTATAAGTAAACTAGTAATTTAGATTTTTGATGTCATTAACAGCTTCTGTTTATTATTACAGCTTTATGCAGGAGCTGTCCTGGAGGTATGTGGATGAAAATTGGGAAGGTTCCCTCAAGTCCAGGGTAAGTAAAACCACTACTGTTCTTTCAAATATGAAATACTGTCACAGCTGAATGACAAAATGGGCTTTTAAGTACTACTACAAGTAGTCATAAATTTCATATATTATATCAGGAAAGTTGCATTGACCTGAGACTCATGGAACTGGTCTCCGGTAATTGATAGATGAAATTATATTGTGCGTTTATGGAACTACTTTCTTTTCATGGATCCTGCAATATAATTGTTTTGTCAGTGGATAATGACAGTCGACTGAAATGAACAGAATATAGCAGTGTAAAAGGAAAATCAGTACCATCAGTGTGTGGTGGGAGGAAGCTGAAGGAGAAGCATCTGTGAGAAATTTCAAACTGGAATTTTCTTGTAAATGGAGGAAGAGCTTAGGTCATAGCAGGACTTTGATTATTTTTCTTCTGTAATGGAGATCCTAATACTGTGCTCTGGATATACTGGGACATAGAGAACAAAGACTAATCTAGCTTTAGACATAAAATTCCACAAACAGCATGTCTCAGTCTATGATAGCCAGAATTAATACCTCCTTAATTGAAGGCTGACTGACAAATGAGTTAAAAAAAAAAAAAAAAGATTTTAAACCAGGTTACAACGAACATAAGTTATGCTGCTTTAGACTGTGTCCTGCAGTTAATTGACTGTAAGATCAGAGCAAAGCTATTTTCTCTTTCCCACTGTTTAAAATGCCAAAACAAGAATTGTTTAAATGACTTGTCCTACTACAGGGGTGTGAGGAGATTAACTTTGTTAGCACAGGAGTCCAAATTGTCTCCATGACCACTCAAATTTAGCAAACATAAAAACATTCCCAACTGTTGTTGCCCATTCACTCAGCTTCTTTATGGTTGTGAATTTGTAACAGTTCAGTGCTCTTTTGAGCTATAGATTTGAAGGAAAAGGTCAACCTGTTTACCTGACTCCAGCCTGCATTGTGTCCTCAGTTACCTTCATGTGTACATCCTAAAACAGAATGGCCCTCAATTTCTGTTGTGTCCGTGCCATGAAACATGTGCCAAAAGCTTACAATACAAAAGGAAAAACTTGAAAATTTCAAAGCCTTTTTTTTCCCTTTCAATCCTTGGTCATCTTAGCCTGCTCAAATATTGAGATTAATTAATTCCATAAATCATATAGCTTGCTTTTTTAAATGACTGAATAAATTTCAGTGATTTTTCAGTACATTCTCTGTTTTGACTACTAGTTCTTCTTCAGTACAGTAACAAGAAAAAAAGGACCAACTTGTGTACTTAAAGATCTCTCTTGCCTTTTCATCACCAATTTCTGCAGTTAGCTAGTCATAATTTATCTTGACCAAATTTACTGCTAAGGTATTAGAACAGGTTGGAAGATGGAATAAATTTTAAGAGCGTATTTGGAAATTTTAAAAAGCAGTAGAATATATTCTTCCAGCTGGTATTTGTCTTCACATTAGTATTAATCTTGGAAGACTTTTACTTAGAATTTCCCCTTGATTTTAAGTTCCACCAGAAACAGTTATTTAATGTCTCCATCTTAAGACGTTAACATTCAAGGAGTGTTTTTATTTCAACTTTTCACTTGGATGTTCGCTATGGAAGTTAGGTTGCCTGAAGGTCATGCTGCTGCTTTTGAAGCACAGTCTTTGTAGGCTTCATTGAACTGTGTAGCCTGTCATTGACAATGTCTCACTGCACATAACTCTGATTCCTTTCCCATAGCTTCTGCTAGGATTTTGTTGAAGCTTTCTTTTTGCAGAATATACACAAAATGACACCAGTAATAGCAAAACTATGTATGTATTAGTTACATGGATTAGTGTATGTTACTTCTGTATCTGACTGTGAAGTCTCCATCTTTATGTACCTGTGTAAATTTTCTCATTTGGCTTACTCTCACAGACTGGATTTGTCATAGACTCCTTCTGGATTATATTTTATTTGTCCAAAGGGTGAAGAGTGTTTTTTTTGTAATGAGATTCACATTTTAAAATAGTTAAGGATTAAAATCTGTTGAATTAATGAAGGTTTGTAAAAGTTACACAGTAAGGAAGTTACACAGTTGGAAAAACCTGTGCATTGCTTGTGGTTATTAAATGCAATATTCTATCATTCTTCTGTATCAAAATTACTGGTTATATAATTTTTGGCTACAAATAGTTGCTGGATACACCTGTGTGCCTGAAATGTGAGAACCATTACATATGGAACATATTTATAGATACTGGGAAAGCAAAGAAGTGACAAGTGATGAAAAAAAACCAGTCCTCAGCAAGATTATCTCAATCTTAAAACTTAATGTTATTCTTTGTAATATCATAAAAAACTACTCAATGCTTTTGTGAATATGGCCAATGATCTCTATTACGTTTTTCAAATACAGCTTCTTGTAATGTCAGGTAACAGACCACACTTCTGTAAGTCTCTTTAATAAGTACAGTACTGAAATATTTTTCCTGTTATGTTTCCTTTAAAAATAAATTGCTCCATTATAAATGCTGTACTGTAACATTAATTCCTATGTTACATATATTTTGAGATTGCTTTGTGTAAAACTGTTCTTAAATATTTATAATTTAAAAGCACTCCATCAAAGTAGAACATTGAAAACATAAGTGGCAAGATTCATAGATGAAGCAGTATCTAATTATACCAGGTAATATAGAAAATATGACAGTTTTGGCTGACATCCATAAAGCTAAGGCTCTGAAATAGAATAATAAATTAGCTGGGCCAGTGATTAATCTAGCATATTTGTTTTCACTTGACTTTTCAGGGGCAGCCTTGTTCTGTTCATGATTAGATAGGAGATCACAGTGTCTAGACTCCTATGTTCTTTACAGTTTGTTTAACAAAAGCTGAATTAGGCTGGGTTTTTTCACTGAACATTTCTTCCATATTTCTCTGTGTTCTTTTTGTTCATCAGTAGAGTAACTCTCACTTCTCCCTGTGTGGCTCTCCTAGTTAAGAAAGGGATGTGCTCCCAGCAAATCTGTTACAGAATCAAGGTCCTTAATCCTTGAACTCATGCAGTATGCAGCTACCTTAGATCCTCTGACTTCAGAGTCAGTAAGCACTCTGTTACGTTACGCAAGTTCTGCAAACGTGAGGGGGATTCTTTTAGCTACTAAAATGTAATTTGTAATGGGATTGTATTTTTAGGTAAGATCACTTATTTCCTGGTTATTTTAGTCTGTAATTATTAAATACTGATGAAAGAAAATTAGAATGGTATATTAACTTCCGTTTACTAGAAAAATAGCATAAAGTGAGAAGGGTATCTCCAGTTTAAAAAGTTGGATGAATTCCCATGGACATACATAGTCCTCAAAAGTGTTACAACAGTAAGCAATGGAATAAATCTAAAGTAAAAGCACAGCTTTTTAAATAACAAAAGGATTAAAAGTTCGAACGAGTGGACTCTACCATTACTGGCAGACAGTTAATCACATTAGATTCTTGCTGTAGGTTACCAGGAGGAAAAATTGTGCAGTAAAAATTTATTGTTGACCTTGTGCTGAAGATTTGACTAGGTCTGACTAGCTCTGGTTTCTGCCATTAAAATCTGAAACTGATATAATGGAGACAGTAAGGTTTTTTTTAATCTCTTCCAGGCCTTTCGGATCTGAGCCCACTGCAATCCTTCTGATGCATGTAGAGACAGACAAGGTTAAAAATGCTGATCTGCATGCATAGTTGTTTGAAAAGCAGTGTGAAATTTTACTGCCATTGTATATTGGCTGTCACTCAAGTTTTAAGAGATAATTTTAATTTTTTCTGAACTTCTTTTTGTATTTTTTCAGTTACAATCAAGGAGGAGTTATGTGCTCCTAAAGCAGGAATCTAAATAATGTGAATATTCCTGAATGTAGATATCCTTGGTAGTCTGGATCATGCCCATTAACATGTAACACTAGGTAGTCAACTCTGTTTACGAAGAAGTTCTGCCCAGTGGATAGATCTGCAGCTCTGAATGGAGAGATGTAGCACCATGTGCGTCTTGGGTCAGGAAGCTTTCTTATGGTATATCCTGTGGTACCTCAGAGAATAGCGCGGGTGTGTGCCTGCATGGACATAGACTTCCTGTTTGGGCATGACTGGTTCTTGGATTCCTTAGCAATCTCCACTTAGGACTCTAGGCTAATTCCAACAGACCAGTTTTCACAGATTTTTTCAAAACAAAGAGGTGTCACATATCAAAACAACATGGCATTACAATGACAGCAGGGAGTTTCTCCGTTCTCTTCATTCCTAGGCAGAGGCTGCTCTTAGGTTTTTAAAAGCACTGTTCAGTATCTTTTTGCAAAACACGGTGGTGCTGGGCAAGCTTTAAAATGCCCTGACCTTTTAGTTGTAGTTGATTGCACGGCAATCAGGTCTGCTCTGTAGGCTCACCTCAGGGTTGCCTTCAAACGGGAGGCATATGCTTTGGTATTGCACTTGTTTTATAAGAGCATAAGGTGAAGTGATTTTCTCAACATTATGTGAAAGGACAGTTGCAAAGCTGGCAGTAGAACAGCCCTGACTTCGAGTCTGGTGTTTAATTCACCGGAACATAGTGTCACGGCACCAAGCTCAGAGTTCATCTTATGGAAGGCAAAGTGGAAAATGCCTTCCTCGCTCATCCACAGTTGGATTATATAAATGCCTGTTTCTCTGCAGTCTAATAAGCTGTACAAGGAGAGGAAAATGGGGAGATAGGTGGGATTTTAGTATTCAACATCAAACTATTAAATAGTGGTGTAAAGATGTGCAGGTAGCCTTCAGGCATAGTATCATAGGAAGCAACAATGTTGACATCAAGGTATAGAGGGGAAACCCTTGGGGCAGTGATGAAGGTAGAGCATGTGCACCACATCATATGATAAGCAAGCAGCCAGGGCTCCCAAAACGTGCACTGTAGACTCCTCTGACTTCTTAACCCCATCAATTCCATTCAAAGGCTGTTTATTCAACCTAGGGCATGATTTTGTGCAAATAAAAAAAAAAAAGGTGTTTGATGGGATAATCTGTATTTTTAACGGATGTCACTGTATTAGTTTCTCACTTTAGCTTCCAAAATTGAGAATATACGGATTTTATTTGCACAGTGAGTGTTTTTCTTTGTTGCATTGCAAATTCAAATGACTAATGCGGAAAGCCACTATGATCAGCATTAGAAATAAATACGCCATTAACAGAAACCGTTTTTGTTCCAGCTGTCTAAAATTTCAGGAAAAATGTTCTTTAGTGCTTCAGCTTTCAGAAGATTTAGACATTTGACATGGATACAAGTGTGTAATAGCTACTTTTAAAGTGACAAAATGTAATACTGCCTATAGAATATTTCGTCTTCCACCTAGTTCTGTTCCCATTTTATGTGAGCTTGTTCAGCCCAATACTGCAGCCAGAGAAGAGCCACTGATGTCCAAATGAGCTTTCATCCATCATTCAAATAACAAATCCTCACACCTGTTACAAGCTTAAAGTGCTGTAACCTGAGTTAACCCCCAGAGGCTATTCTTTAGTACAGTGGAGTTCCACATCAGATTTGCTTCTGAAACTTTATCCATTTTACTGTGCTCTTACAGTTCTTCTTTAAGTTTTGCAATTATTTACCCACTGTACTGACTGGTTCTTGCAACCTGCTTTTCATATAAAGCTCTAGAGACTGATTTCAGCTTTAGATTTTAATTGAAAAAAATGTGGGAAAATTCCCCATGAAATAGTTCAACACGCTGTAGACTGAACAAAGAATAAGAAATAGCTTTGCCACTTTTTTTGCACGTTACTGTTGATGACAGTCAAGACAACTAACAGGCCCCAAGGATGTGGGAAACACTGAAGTTGAAAATTATGTCTTTGTGAGTTTAAATGAGAATTGAACTGCAGTATGTGAGCAAGTACTGGTTATTTAGTGCTATTTGAAATTGTTATAAAGTACAGCTTACACTATGACATCAGTGAATAGTTCTATAGAACGAAGGAAAACAAGCCTTATTTTCTTCTACAGGGGTCCAGTACATCTGGCAGCTCATTGGGCCCTTGGTGTTTTTTCAACTGGTTTATATTGTGTAATGGTTGGTGCAGCGGGCACAGTACTCAATTTTGATCTGTACCGAGAGCACAGTGGAAGAGGGAAGAAAATAAATGCCACTCTGTATATACATACTGAGAAAGTGCTGTGGTAACTGTCTACAGTAATATACATGCAGGTATAAAGATGCCAGGGGACATCTTTACAATTACTGAGGAGAGCACTACGCTTTGTGAGGCAGTATGAAACATTAGTCCTGAGGTTGCACTCATCTCCATGCACCAGCTGGATGCGCTGCAATTTCTGAGAGGTTCATCATTGTCTAACCTTGAAAAAGCAGCTTTAACATGCATTAAGAGTCAGTCTGTACTGACAGGGTTCATCCTTGGGGAGACAGTACTGACACACTACAGCAGTGTCCTGAATCCACTTAATGGCAGTACAGATACTAAATTCAGCCTTTAGCATAACCGGAATGTAGGAAGGAGGAATGAAGACCACGGTATTTTCTAAATAAACTTTAAGTACTTCCAGAACTCAGATGTTCATCAGGCTAAAGTGTTTGGAAGTAAGGGATTATGCTTACACTTAGTCCTGAAGTGATTCATAGTGTCTTGTCTTTTAAAAGTTAACGTTAACACAGGCCTGCGTTGTGCTGCAGGGATGCGGGGACTGTGCTGCTGCTAATGCTTGCTGTTTGCTGACTAGCACTTCAGGTGAAGACAGCAGCAGCCCACCTCGGACCTCAACTTCTTTCCATGTAGATACATGCAGGCCACGGAGTCCATCTTAAAGCTGATTGCCTTTAGGAGTGTCAAGAGAAGAGGAGACACCAGCTTCTCGTTTTCTTGCTGGTTTTTGACATGTAATCTCAGAGATCTCTGCAAGATGAAGACTGTCCGTCTTCTTTGCAAGAATAACACTTCTACCCACAGTTTCCTCTGTGCCCCTTCACCCGTGCTGCAGCAGCTTGTGTAGAGCGTGCTGATGGGACACGTGTCGCATTTAGCCTCCTTCACAAAGCTTATCTTCAGCAAGATTTTGATCGCTCTAACACGTTTCCTCACGTTTGTGTATCGCAGCAGCATATGTGCCAGTCTGCTGAAGACTGTCAGTTGTACATGCAGATAAACTGATTTAGACAGTTGCACTTGTGTTTGAGGAAAATCCAAGCAGATAGGAAGCTTGCTTGGAATACTAGCAAAACCAGGATGTTCCTTAGGCATAATAGTTTTAGTATTATTAATTTTGTGAGGTTATTAAAGATTTTAAAATTTAAATACCTTCTAAAGCATCATTCCAAAAGAAATAATTCAGGGAATACTAGCTTGAATGTAAATCTACTTTATGCAAGTGGAGAAGAGTTTGATTGTCTATCTTTCTTTTCTCCAAACCACAGCTTTTGTCAGGAGTGATAAGCCAAAACTCTTCAGGGGACTGCAAATCAAGGTGAGTAGTAACCTAACTTTATTACTGGGGATGTTAGGAGAAATTAAGCTTGGTGGAGACAGTCCTTCAGTGAATTGTTCCTCATTTGCTGATCAAGTAATCCTTTAGCAGAGGACATATATTAGCATTGCCAGTATAAATCTTTACAAATTCCTGCTGCTAATATTAACTGGGTTATTGCTCAGTAACTGTTTGGTATCAATTTTTCATTGCTGTTGGGCTTTTATTGGGGTTGGTTGGTTGTTTTTAGTCCAAGAAAAAATATACTGGAACCCATAAGTAAAAGTAGGTGGTAAAAGAATATGAGGAATGCTTGCATTCTCTCCTTGCTCTGTAGATATCTTGAATCCATCTTAAAGCTGATTGCCTTTAGGAGTGTCAAGAGAAGAGGAGACACCAGCTTCTCGTTTTCTTGCTGGTTTTTGACATGTAATCTCAGAGATCTCTGCAAGATGAAGATTGTCCGTCTTCTTTGCAAGAATAACACTTCTACCCACAGTTTCCTCTGTGCCCCTTCACCCGTGCTGCAGCAGCTTGTGTAGAGCGTGCTGATGGGACACGTGTCGCATTTAGCCTCCTTCACAAAGCTTATCTTCAGCAAGATTTTGATCGCTCTAACACGTTTCCTCACGTTTGTGTATCGCAGCAGCATATGTGCCAGTCTGCTGAAGACTGTCAGTTGTACATGCAGATAAACTGATTTAGACAGTTGCACTTGTGTTTGAGGAAAATCCAAGCAGATAGGAAGCTTGCTTGGAATACTAGCAAAACCAGGATGTTCCTTAGGCATAATAGTTTTAGTATTATTAATTTTGTGAGGTTATTAAAGATTTTAAAATTTAAATACCTTCTAAAGCATCATTCCAAAAGAAATAATTCAGGGAATACTAGCTTGAATGTAAATCTACTTTATGCAAGTGGAGAAGAGTTTGATTGTCTATCTTTCTTTTCTCCAAACCACAGCTTTTGTCAGGAGTGATAAGCCAAAACTCTTCAGGGGACTGCAAATCAAGGTGAGTAGTAACCTAACTTTATTACTGGGGATGTTAGGAGAAATTAAGCTTGGTGGAGACAGTCCTTCAGTGAATTGTTCCTCATTTGCTGATCAAGTAATCCTTTAGCAGAGGACATATATTAGCATTGCCAGTATAAATCTTTACAAATTCCTGCTGCTAATATTAACTGGGTTATTGCTCAGTAACTGTTTGGTATCAATTTTTCATTGCTGTTGGGCTTTTATTGGGGTTGGTTGGTTGTTTTTAGTCCAAGAAAAAATATACTGGAACCCATAAGTAAAAGTAGGTGGTAAAAGAATATGAGGAATGCTTGCATTCTCTCCTTGCTCTGTAGATATCTTTACTCAAGCTTATTCTGCCAGTTTCCTTTTCTTGTATTCTGGTCTCCCCTCATTTTCTGATGGAGCTGCCATTTCCATACATGCAGTGATTCTTAGATTTTTCTCTTCTCTCTCAGAGAAGAGATGTGTTCTGTGATTCCGTTTTTTCTTCATAGTCTTCAAATATCCAGTTCTATAGAAATTAATATACTGAATGGTGTTTCTTACGACTTGCATATATGCAAAGCTGCATAAGCTTTACTGCCTTAAGCTCAAACAATTCTTTGGTTTCAAGATCTAATGTAAGACTTCACCTTCCTCTTATAATCCTGTGTGAACTTCCAGCGTACTTCACAGATATACATTTTGATTCCAACATCTTGTGTTCCCATCCCTATTCACCAAATGGCACCATCTGGAATCACTTCGTAGCAGTGCGTGGCTGCAATAAGTGATTTGTCTTCTCAGCAGCAGATTCCATCTAAAACAGCTTTCCTCTGTCTCATGCATTTCATGTCTCTGTGGTCCTCCAATTTCTTTCAAAAGTTCTCTCTCCTTCTGCATGTCTGACTCTTTCATTTTTATCTTAAACTTTGTAGCTGTATTGAACATCAAAGCAGTCTAGACTACAATTGGTACAGAGCACTACCAGAAAAAAATATAGTGCAAATGGATCTGGTATTTATTTTATAAGGCTTTTGGAAAACGGATTAGAGATGCCACTAGTTTCATTAAGTAAAACCAACTAGGTTAGCTCAGTAGGGTCAAGTAAAATACTCCTGGGGAAATCTTTCCATAAACTTAAATGGTTAGAGCCTTCTAATACTGTTAAAAGCTTTTATTTGCGTTACATATTTTGTGACTTAGTGAGTCTTCAGAAGCATTAAAGTATTATGTTACCAGCAAAGCCTAGTAGGCAGAGATACAATACAGCAGGAAAGAATGTGATTACTTTAGAAATTGATAGTGGAGCTGTTGAAGTGACTGGAAATTTCTAAAATTGTAAAAAGGCTATTGATTATATGTGAAAAATCATTCAGCTGCTTGATTCAAAAATCCAGCTTCAGTAACTTAAAACAGCTGAAGGTCAAATACCATTTTTCAAAGCTAGGCTTACTGCACATGCATTAGCTTGTGTAGCGGGCTGAGAACAAGAAGTAGATGTTTCTCACACACACGCACGCAAGTCAGAAGTCTGAACTGAAGCTGTTTCCTACCTGTTTTACTTAAGGCAAGTAACTGTTCTGGATCTCAAGATAAACATTTACTGCTCTTAAAATAACGTGTTTTAATTTCCTGTGAAATCAGGCCTCTTTGTCCCTTATGCTTATGGTTGATTACTTAGCACAAATTGTATTTCCAAAGTTTGCCCAGAGTACTCTGATTTAATTTAGTGCTCTGTTCTTAATTATTCATACATCACAGTGTCACTCTTTAGACTTTTTACTATTCCTGCTTTGACATCTTTTTAACTGATTTAAATAAATTGGGGGGTGGAGGGGAGAGGTGTTAATACGGAGAATACAGTTAATGTATTTTCCAGGCCAAGGTAACTGATTTTTATTTTTTTTTTCCCCTGCAGTATGTGCGTGGTTCTGACCCTGTACTAAAGCTGCTGGACGACAGTGGGAACATTGCAGAGGAACTGAGCATCCTCAAGTGGAATACAGATAGTGTGGAAGAATTTCTAAGTGAAAAATTAGAACGTCTATAAATCATTGCTTTCAATCCTTTTTCCTCTTCATGTTCTGTCATGGTAATCTTTTCAGATGTGGTGTGCTACAACTGAAAACACATTCTGCTTCTATATTAATTTTAAAATATCTGTTGTGCTGTACTAAACATATTGTAATTAGAAAGGGAAGCTTCAGCACACATCTGACAAGTTGACAAACAGAATAGCTTGTCTTAATATTCAGCTCTTAATGCATTTATCATTAATAAAATGCATTGTTTTAAAATTAATTATGCAAATATCAGCTTGCTGTAATTGAACCTGTTTTTACAAATACTCTTAAAACTGAAGAGCTTCAAATAATTGAAATGATTACCATGCTTTTTTTTATCTGCTACTCTTTGTAAGAAAGTCAGAACCAAATGCAATGTACTATCTCCCAAAGAAACTTGACTGCTAATGCCCTCTTCTTCTTTTGTATTTGAACTGTCCTTTTTTATAGAAGCATCGTTTACAGTTTCTAGTTCACAGGTTTTGAAGCTGATGGAGTAACTCATGCTCTGGTACTGTGAAACATTTAGTAAGTACACTTTAGTGAAGACTACATAGAAAACCTCTGAGGTATATGGAAGTCAGATGTCAGGTGTGCTTTACATTAAGTGTTTTGCTTCAGAAAACATGAGATAGAAGTCTTCAAAAACCTTTCCTTCTAACTGTCGCAGGTTTATTGGAAGTGTGTTTATCAAATGAATTTATAAACTGTTCTTTTAAAATGTATATTTTTCTTTCTCAGTGGAAATTTATGCAAACAGGGAATACAGGCAGTATGGCAGGTAATGAGTCAAGTCCATTATGACTTGCTGTGTTTTTTCCACTTAAAGTGAATAAATATGGTAAGCAAGAACAATGTGGGTATTTTTTCTGAAGTCCAATTAGCAAATAAGTCTTCCCTTTACCTACCTCATGCACACCAGCTTTTGGTTGGATGGGTGTTATGCTATGGCCTGAATTGGAACCCAGTTTTTCTCTTCATATACGATTTTATAACTCAAGAAATTTCCCTGCAACTTGCAGATTTTATTTCCAACTTTTGAGGAAAAAATCATGAGCTTCATAGGAGAACAATAAACTTGGGACTGAGACCACACTAAATTATCAGCATTAATACACTAAGGTGATTCTTTAGGTGTAGCCTTCTGAGTTTTTATTCCTGAAATAGTCTTATAAACTCTTAGAAGGTGCATACAGCTAGGTCACATGATGTGATTCTTGTTGTTCTCTCTCTTATTCTATACCTTTCACTCCTGTCCTTGTAAAACACGTTGCTCATCTCCCAGATGACTCGATGTGGGACAGGTACAATAGAGGTCACCACTGTCATAGAGAAATATGAACTCTACACACAAAGCATAATTCTTTTCAGCTTGTGCTAATTTATCAGTCAAACATGGATTTGTTCTTAGGATATGTGATGTATTAGTCAGTAGATGAGCTACACCAAAACATCTCACATGACAAACCAGTATTTTGGTAGTAAAAAAATATGCTGCCATCCACTGGTCTTTTACTATACTGACTACATCACAATCTTCTCATTCCTGTGTTTGCCAACAAGGGATTTCAGTTTCTGTGTTGATGATTTATCATGTGGTTTTAGCAGAATATTTTAACTTGGTCTTTCTCCCCAGCCTTAGGTCCTCTTTACCACTCAAGGGAGAGACTGTCTGCTTCATATGACATTTACCAAATATTTCTTGCTGCTTCTCTCTATTATCTTCCTCCTCTTCCTCAGCATGATGGCCAGTGGGTTTGTGACCTTCAATCTTCCTCTTCACACATCTTTCTACTGCCAGCCCACTACTTTCCTACACAAGCTACCTCTTCCAAGGCCAGGTTCTTCACTCCTGCTCTTGCTTGGCTTTCACTGAAGCAAGGAACTCACTCTTGTACCAGAAGATAACCATCCTGTAGTGGAGGAGGATGACAGGCTAAAGAATGCCTCCTCCAGCATAACTGGGTTTTCTGACTGCAGTCCCAAAACCCTTTCTGCAGTTTCTGACCTTTTCCAGTACTGGTTCTCACTTACTTTCATCAAGGAGATTGGAAATTATCTTTTCTCCCAGTTTTCCTCCTAGGTTCCCGATTTGCTGATTCCTGTTCCACATACTAATCTTGCCTTGTAATACAGATATCTGTTCTCTTATCTTAAATTCCCTCTATTTCCCTATATATAGGAACATGCTGAGAGTTCAGACACATGCTTCCTAGGTACACTTAACATTCTGGCAAAAATGAGCTGGGCTTTGTGCTAAAAGAGGCAGTTGGAGTGGGGGATAATTTCTTTTGGAAATTCTTAAGTTTCTATTTATCAGTGTGGGGTTTTTTTCTTCCAGTCTGCAGCTGTGAAAATTCATAGAGCTTAAAAGGTTATTTTGGCTTGTGGCAATTAACTACACAAAACGCAAGGTTTACAGCTCCCATTTAAAAAGGAAGTGATTCATTTTTACTTATAGCCACGATAAGAACCCAGTACTTCATGAAAGGCATTCACTCAGATTTATGTAAGAATTATTTAGTCTTATATAATGCTCTTCTTGTGCCAAATCTTGAGAGAGTTAATGAAAGGAAGAATAAAAGCAGCAAGCATGCATGACTGCATTGAAACATGAAGTATCCATCTCCCCCTCCTATTTTTTTTAGAAAGAAAAAAAAAGGCAACTCATCTTGCAGGAGAGAATAAGTGTGTTTTTTTTTTTAAAAACAGAAGTCTTGTTCATTCCATATTCTACATATGGTACATAGATGAATTTTTGAAGCATAGTGTACAAGCTACTTGGAAGGGTTTCCTGGGTACCTGCTTAGTCATAGATTCTTGCCATGTGAACCAGAACAAAATGATGGTAGCAGGCAAAAATCTGTTTCAGGGCTAACGGAAACCTTCCAGCAGACACTGAAATCATGGGAAGAAAGTAAGTGTTCAACTCAGTCTTTGTTTTATTGTTTCATCACATCAATAGAACAAGAACAGATTGCCATCTTAATGAAGAGCACACACACAAAAAAGTATGTGTGTTCAGAAACCTGGGCTCCTATTGAGAATGTAACTTATTTTGAACCCAAGCTTGCAGAAGCAGAGTAAATCTTCTGATGTTCCTCTTCAGCCAGAGAGATTAGATCCCCTTCTCCCCCCAAAAACAAAGAGAAATAAAAAAGAAAAAAAAAATGCTTTATTGCCATTCTATTTCATTAGCATGGAAGCTGGATTTTTAGAGCTGCATTAGAACTTCTCTACATTCTACTCATAAAGGCAAACAGGCTCAAATCTAACTTGAGATAGTTTCAAGAGTGCATTGCCAGGAACAACGTAATTTCCTGCTTCAAACGCTAAAATGCAGAATATTTGTATCAAAAGCAGCTAAAGAAAACAACATCTTCTGAATTTGTGTGGTTTTTCCTTGAGCTGTTAACCTTTAAGGCCCAATGCAATTACTTTGAAACAAATTTGCTGTCATGTCTAAGAGGAAGATCCCAAGGGACAAGAGTGCCAAGGAGACAAAGAACAGCCTACTGATAGGTTCCGTTATTGAACACCTGTGCTTCAGAACACCAGCTGAAGCTGGTAGTGTTCAGAACACCATCCCCTCCCAAATGCAATCTCATAAAAAGTCTAAGCAGAGGGTAGCTGGAGAATATTTTCAGTAATTTCTATCTCCTTATCACTTGTCATAAAGGATGGAGAGAAGGAAACACATTACTCACCTGCTGAGCTCAGACAGGAGACAAAGTACAGAAGCAGTCAGAGTATTCTTGCATTTATTGATTTAAGTAGGAACCATGGCACCAGGTGAACACAGACTGTCTGAAAGAGTTCCTGATTATCTGTTACTTTTTGAAATGGATTCCTGATGCTGAATGAGGCCTGTCAGTTTTGTTGCTGTTCGAGAAGCTTCTAACTACCTATTTCACTGAAAGCCTTACATACAGCAGCACTTGTGTCCAGTGACATAAGTTAAACAAAGCTTCTGAACACTGAGAAACGGAACATCTCTTAACGCTTCCCACTACCAAGGCAGCCAAGATTAAAGACTTGCCCTTGTACCCTTGCATGGCGCAAGCACTTCTTTTGAATCGCTGTTCATTTTGTCTGCTATCAGGCTGCATGGTCAAGCATATTTGTTTTAAAGCACTTACAGCTCTGCAGTGGTCCCAGATGATGTGGGCAGCCTAATGCATAAGTCTCAAGTAGACAGTGGTGACATACATACCGTCATGTGGGGATTCCTACCAGTAACCTTGAAAATACACACCACACATATATTCTACAGGGGCCCGATACAAAGCTGTACTAATGACTTACTTAATTGTGCATCTTTTGGAAGGTTTTAGCAATATCAGTATTTTATCCTGACAGCCTTCAGAGACCATATATGCCTAATATAGCTTATACATTTATATATAAAGGGAAATTATGCCTGTGCATAGGAGTTCACTTGGAGTTGCAGATGCCTGCCAGGATGAACACTTTGGTGGTCGTGGTAAGTTTGGGTAGGTCTGTACTGCATCAAAGATGGGTAAGAGCACTTGTTCTGCCTTGGGAAGTTATAGCCTGACTAGCTCCAAAAAAAATAAACCAAGACACACTGGTATGGGTATCATTACAAGCTGTAAATACTGGGAGGGATCTAAGATTATATACCAGAGTTGCCAAGTATACATGATGCAAGTTTAAACCACATCGTTGATACAGTGTGCTGCAGTTGTGCCTTCAGCACTGCTGCTCTCTCTCCCTAAGAGTAACTGGTTCAGGGCTTTCAGGCTGAGATTAGCATCCTGTCCCATGACTAAACAAAGTTATGTCTTTAACCATTTCCAGAATATGAAGATACTCTTTGCTCTGAACATCTCTCAAAAGTGACAACAAATAAAAGAACATTCTAGAAATGCAGGGGAAAGCAATTTCATATATTCATAGGAACACTTAGCTGTTTTATATTTAGTGGGAACAAGGGCATGAACTGAAAGCAGCAGGATGGTAACAACTGAGCAGTAATTTGAGTAAGAATTAAGTTGCTTAGTAAAAATGAATGGATACTACAAAGCTACGAAACAAGGCAGTATTTTCTCAGAAGTAACTCAGGGGTTTGATCTCAATAAAGCAGCAAGAATTTGTACACAAAATAGAACACCTAATTTCTTGGTTTAAAAGCCATGCTTAATTTCCTGCTATATTAATTACACAGGCTTTTAACAAGTTATTCTTCTAAAGAAAAGTAGTTTTACATCCACGTGCAGTACAAAATGTATCACACAAAAAAAAAAGGGGTTAACAATCAAACTAGCAGAATCAAACCCCAGAGACTGGGATACTTCTGCTTTGTCTTAGTTTTAAGTGCCTGATCTACTCAGCAGCAGCAGGAGAGCAATCACTCTAGTGAGTCAACATTGTAACAGCACAGTATGAGTGTTTAGTTCTCAGGATTCTTCCCAAGACTTTACTGCAGTGAAATCCCACTATAAGTCATGCTGGATGGAATGGGGAGGAGTAAATCAGTCTTACTGTAAAACCACAAATTCATCTAAGAATGTATTTCCTAACGTCTGTATAATGGAGAGCCTCAGAGGTGGCTGTGTTGGTATTTAATACAAAGGAATAACTGGATAATGAATTTACAGTGTAGAGGTCTTAACATTTCCAAAATTATTCACTGGAGCAGTTCCATACCTTGATCTCTCAGCCAGCATCCGGCACTGCAGTAACTGTACCTATCAACCAACAACCTATCCTGGAGCTGGGAATACATCCCCTTGGGGCTGAGTGCATCAAGCACAAGAGAAACCATTTCTGAAGTTGCCAGCAAACACCAAGTTCATGGGTGGGAACAGGGGAAAGAGACATTCCACAGC